GTTTCTTTGCGTTGTGTTTCTAATATGCTGCTAAACCGTTAGAGAAACGAGTTCCGGCTAGACGCCGCAGCCAGAACCGTTTTTGTCCACGGCGCCCCCCCAGTCTCACGAGCCAGATGAATGCGAAGCAAAGGCACACGACCAGGAGAAGTGACGCAATAATTGTGTGACACTGCTCTTGAATGACGTTGTTACTACTTCTCTTTCGAGGCTGCCAATATCATAAAGCTCCAAAGGTTGTGGCCCAAGGATAAGTAAGCTTGTGTTAAAAACTAGGCATATGGAACGCTACTGGAACGTTGCCATTCACATCGGAAAAGACTGTCAACCGAGCTTCGGTTCAAAGCTGCGGGTGAAACTGTCGTCCGACTTAAAGTCTCACCACAACAGGCAAACGAATTTGTTATCTTATCCGAAATGCACACCGGAAGCAACTGTGAAGGAAGTGAGGATCTTCCTGTGAAATCCTGCAGCCACTCCCCATGCATTGTGCAAACTGACTTATCAAAGGGGCTAATCAATGTCACCGAACGCAACTCTAAGCTACTCGCCGAGAATACCACAAAAAACGGCTAGCGGCCGGGCATGGAACTGTCGGCACTACCTATCATCCTTGCTACAAGTGTCTCGGATCGCTGCTGAGAACCAAAACACTTTGCTGCATGTACACAAAGGCTCAAGGCCTCCACAGCAAAATCGCGGAGCTTCGGTTGCGCCAGGCAACAAACGCTTGGCATCTCATCTCCATAACCGAGACTTAGTTGCACCCAGGGATTACGGATGGCGAGATCGCGATTCAGGGTATGTCCTTGTTCCGATACGATCGTCCCAGCAGGGGAGGTGGGGATATCCCATACTATCGTAAGGACTTACAATGCGAACCACTGGATGATCTGGAGACGTGCATCACTGATTCGCTATGGCGCCGTTTGCATCTCAGACACAACGACAACTGCTTCGTGGCAGTCGTGTAGCGTTCCCCATCGCCCACTCCAGAGATGGATTCCCACCTAATATCATCACTGAGGAAAAGCTTACACCTAACTTACAGCCAGGTTCTTATTTCCGGCCATTACAACGTGCACGACTTGGAAAGCTCGGCATCCCCCAGCGAAACATACAAGGTCGAACTGCAAGACCTTATCGCAAGTATTCTGCTCTACAATCACATCAGCTCACCTACCAGGTACAGAGCTGATAACAAACCATCGGTACTTGACCTCGTCCTTACAAATGAGGAACTCATGATCCACAGGCCATTTATAGACACCCCACTGGGGTTAAGTGATCATGTCACCATACTTTATAACTATGTGTGTTACGCTGAATATCCTGAGGAATACACAGAACTAACACGTACTATCACACATTACATCTTGAACAACCTAGTTGACACGAGCGATTGGATGTTCTTGAAAGGTGGCACACCTGATGTTCGCTGGATTCAGTTTGTTGGACGCCTCAGCAAACTTATCGCAACTGCTTCGGAAACAAAGAGGGTACGCTATACCAATCTTTTGTCTTTCAGCAGAACTGGTTGTCGCAAGCGCACGTCAATAAGGAATGCAGCTTGGCACACTTACAGAGTTCGTCCTTGTCCTGAAACCTGGAACGATTACATGACCCATTGCAACCACCGTATCATGTTTGTCCGTGAGGACAAATTGACTCACCAACCTTTGGCCTGTAAATTTGCCAACAACAAGAAGCTAATATACAAGCATGTTAACACCATCCGGAAAGTGAAGCTCGGTATCTCCTTACTTAACACGTTAGTCGAAGTGGCAGAGAGTGCCGAAGAGGCAGGCAGCGACCTACGAATGCAGTATGCCCCAATCTCCCAAAGAGACATCCGCCAGTGTTACATGCCCACATCCCTATCCCCAACTACAACACACACTAACATCAATTTTACTGACACAGCTGTGTTGAAGAAACTGCTCTCACTACGCACCTACAGTTCGCCCAGAATCGACTATATTCAATCAAGAGCACTGAACGTGGCTGGCCGGGGCATTATCGCATTTCTTCCAAACGTGCTTGGATAAACAAACTGTGTCTACCATGTGGAAACATGGCGTAATCGCTCCAATTTTCAAACGCGGTAATCGCTCGGGACCCGCCAATTTGCGCCCAGTAGTCCTCCTCCCTGTGCTCTCAAAGGTGATGGAGGCAATCACCACTGAGGCTTTAGTAGGCCATTTGGAATGTCACAACATCAAAGCACCTGAACAACATGGTTTCTGCCAGCATCGGTAATGCACTACGAACCTACTGATTGCACGCAGTAGTTGGACGGAAGCGGCCGATACACGCAAAGGGACAGACGTCATTTACCTCGACTTCTCCAAAGCCTTCGACCGACTGGACCACCGCATTCTGCTTCACAGGCTCGAAAGCTATGGAGTTGGTGATCCGGTCCTTGGGTGGATCAGGAATTTCCTGCAGGATCGGCAACTGCAGGTCAGAGTTCGAAGTGCGCTGTCCGATCCGATTTACGTCGAATGTGGAGTTCCACAAGGATCAGTTCTGGGGCCACGTCTGTTTCTCGTGTTCATTAACGAGCTTACGCGTTTGATTGCTTCAGATTTCTTGCTGTTCGCTGACGATGTTAAGATGTGGCGGACGATCGCCGACCCAGCAGATCACGATGCACTTCAGCGAGACCTGGACAGAGCGTATGGGTGGTCACTGCACAATCTGCTCCAGTTCGATTCGGGGAAGTGTAGGGTGGTTCACATTCGCCACTAACCGAACATCACATACAAGCTTGTAGATCATGTCTTGCAAGCAGTCATTCAAGAGCGCGACCTTGGGGTACTAGTTCAGGCTGATTTGGGCTGCTCAGAACAACTGAGAAGGCTTCAAAAACCGGGGACCTACACGTTGCCACACTGCGGAGGGCATTTGGGCGGTTTGATCACTCTATCTGTTCGCAGTTGCTTAAGACCTACGTGCGGCCTTATGTGAAATACGCGATCCAGTTGTGGCAGCCCTGGCACAAACAAGACCTTGCAGCGTTCAAGACACCACAGCAACGAGCCGCGAAGCACCTCAGACGGTTGTTCAATCTTCCTTAACAACTTAAACTAAGGACCCTAAAATTATAGTGTCCGGGACCGGCCCCTACGCGGCGAGGTTATTATTGCCTACCAGATTCTGGGTAATCCCAACCACATCGGCCCTCACCTACTACAACTGAGCCACAACACGGATTTGAGGGGCCACCAGTTCAAGTTAGCCACGCAATACAGTCCGCTAGAATGTGGGCTAAACGCTTACTCTCTACGTCTGTGTCATTCATGGAACGCCCTTCCAAATTACATTGTTTCCGCCCCTAATTTACCTGTGTGTAAAAAACGCCTTGACGTTGCCCTAACCCACCTACACTACGAGATATGGCCTGTGTGTCTCGACAGACGATATAATGCGAAGAACGTTGCATAACCAGAATTAGCCTACACAACTGTGGTGGGCTGTTTGTGCTTGCCTCTGCGTTGACACTGTGGTGAGTCAACCAAGACGGGTTTCATTCTATTCCTTTGTTTTCTATTCATCATGTTGTGTTTCTTTTTTGGCCATCCTACGGGACTTCCTAGGCATCCGTTTTTTGCCCGCAATGTATCATATTTCCATTGATATCTTGATCGACACGCATTATTCATTTCGTTTGATGTAACCCGCTGGAAACAGTGTGAACAGACAATGCGCTAGCGTAACTTTGATGCTTCACCAGCATTCGAATCGTCAACTCGATTGGTCTTTCGACGTTGTACGCAGTGTAAACTCCGTCATTGGTAAGCATGAGGAAGGTGTAAGTATTTAGCACCAAGATCTGAGTTGGCGCAATGAACTACTGTATCTCCACCATTCACAGTCGATCAGCTTGTTTCTATCAGAGCTGAGCTCCACAATATACGGAAACGTACCAGGTGCACAAAATTATCCCATTTCGGTGATTCATACAATATTCCCATCGTATTTGTGGAACTCGGCAGACAACTCATTGACATTGTTGAACACGTACAATCTAACCATGAGCTATGGCAGCGTGCCAGCCCGGTGGCAAGAACCCACTTTTGTGTTGTGAGTAAAGCAGGCTCCTATTGCAGGCTAAGCTTTATCGCCCATTAAGTCATAGCTCTATTCTAGCAAAAATGATGGAGAAATGTTGGAGCTAGAACAGTAGAATTAGTGCTGTCAAGAAAGCTACTATAAAACACTCATCAAGGCTTCTTGAACACTCGGTTGGGCCTAACGTGTCATTTAGAATTTCTAAACCATCTAACTGTCTCGCATAATGTTGGTGCTCCGGAGAATCTAAGTTACCTTGACATGCATAAGGTATTTGATCCGGTGTCTCATGGAAAATTAATATCTAAAATAATGTCGCGGTGCAAATTATACAAATTGAACGCATGTGGTACTGGTACAAGATCACACTCTAAGCCTGCAGCTGTCACACCAGCATTTTAACACTATCCTTGAGCCGCTACTGTGCTTAACATATGTTAGCGATATCCTCGACGTAGTAAAGTTCAGTTACACCATACCTACGTGATGACGTCAAAATTGCATACACTTTCCTTCCGGGTGCCTCCAACGATGTTGTTAACATGACCCAACCCGACCTATATGCGCTCTAAACCCGATACTCTTTCCTACCGACAAGAATTATGCAAGGTCCTAAAATTCGATTTATCTCATAGTTGCCTCATCATTGACGGCAAACCAATAAATCTGTCTTACGATACGGTATCTTGGATTACGATATTCCTGCACGTTTGACTTCTGTGGAAAAATAGGTTATATTATCAAGAGAGCAAGACAAAGCTTTGAAGTGCTATTTGGGAAATTTTATCTACAACAGTCTCACCTACTAAGCCCACGATGACACATTGATCAACAGTGTAAAGGAGTTCAAAAGAGCTCAAACGAAATGCAGTGGAACAAGTGCAGAGAACATAAATAAAGGCTTTTTACCTCATCATCATCATCACCATCATCATCATCATCGTCATCATCATCATCATCATCATCATCATCATCATCATCATCATCATCATCATCATCATCATCATCATCATCATCATCATCATCATCATCATCATCATCATCATCATCATCATCATCATCATCATCATCATCATCATCATCATCATCATCATCATCATCATCATCATCATCATCATCATCATCATCATCATCATCATCATCATCATCATCATCATCATCATCATCATCATCATCATCATCATCATCATCATCATCATCATCATCATCATCATCATCATCATCATCATCATCATCATCATCATCATCATCATCATCATCATCATCATCATCATCATCATCATCATCATCATCATCATCATCATCATCATCATCATCATCATCATCATCATCATCATCATCATCATCATCATCATCATCATCATCATCATCATCATCATCATCATCATCATCATCATCATCATCATCATCATCATCATCATCATCATCATCATCATCATCATCATCATCATCATCATCATCATCATCATCATCATCATCATCATCATCATCATCATCATCATCATCATCATCATCATCATCATCATCATCATCATCATCATCATCATCATCATCATCATCATCATCATCATCATCATCATCATCATCATCATCATCATCATCATCATCATCATCATCATCATCATCATCATCATCATCATCATCATCATCATCATCATCATCATCATCATCATCATCATCATCATCATCATCATCATCATCATCATCATCATCATCATCATCATCATCACCAGTGCCAGTAGACATAAGTTGAATTTATGATGCCCACGTCAGCAATTTCGCTGAAATACAAACGCTGAGAATATTGGGTATTGAAAATAGAGCTATTTGATATGCATCTGTGTTTGTCCATCTTAGGTGAGGCACGTGTGCGGAAGCACGACAATAATTCCTGCGCGTTCGCAGCATATTACGGCTACTCCGCAGACTGTTCAGTGGCGATGAGCTCTTTAATTCGAAGACCCACAAATTGGGTGTGTAAGAATTGCTTGAATACGAACATCGATTTCGCCTCGACTATTTTCTCGAGGAATTGTTCCTACATTTAACCACACGCTGCTCGCAGTGAAGAAGGTGAGCTGTCTGCTTTAGGTCCGGTACCACAAGCTTGTACCCGTGGCCGCGATAGTACTTGGTGCGCGCGTGCAGCAATGGGGTAGTGACCCAGATGCAATATTCCGTGCATCATTATGAAGTCCACTCGAAACCGACGATATCACAGGGTGTACAGTCCTAGCCGTCTGCATCAGACTTCGCACGACAAAACCTCATACATTGGAGATGAGCCTGGTACCTACATGCTGAACTCGTTTCAGTCTGTGCATGTCGCCACGGGCGATCGGCCAAGGTATGAGAATAGCAAGAAATAAAACATTACAGAATACGATATAAAAACAATTGGCCGTGAGATGGCGGTTTGAGAGGGAAGGAGAGGTGGCGGGAGAGACAAAGAAGCCCAACAAACAAACGCATTTGAGGCCGGCTCCTCGCCATGTGAACAAGTGCATCCAACCAAGAGTGTTCGTCGTCTTACGGACTCCAACTCGGCAGTCGAGTGGTACCAACTGACGCCAAGTTCGAAGTGAGTGTTTTCATTCCTCTTAACGAAGTTACCGGTTGGCCTCCCCCTTACCCCATTTACATCTTGGTCCAGCAAGAAACGCGTGTCGCCGGTGTCGGCGGGCCGGCATCTAGGTAAATAACGGCGCTGAGCAATTCATCCTTCTTCCTTCATCAAATGCGAAACGCCTAACATTCTCATGGCCCCCGCGCTCTTCCCACCCACACAAGAGCTAAGTTACGAAGTCGGTGTCTGTCGATCTGATGGGTCAACTTTGACAACCGTACAAGAGTACTGAACATAAATTTGCTTTGGAAACTCTGCTTTTCAGGGTATTGTGGTGTTGCTACAGGTGGCGAATGGTAGCAAATGTTTCTCAAGCTTTGATATACGCTGCTGAGTACGTTCGCTTGTTGGTACCGATTAGGATATTGTCATTGGCGCATCGGCAACGTCATTTTGTCATGAACGTTCACGCTACCAACTATGCGCACACAGCATTTTGTAACAATTACATATTACTCGGGAAAACCATCTACTTTCCTAATGGGAACACCGATCCACAGAGCCGAAGGCACTTTACCGTTGGGGCACACGAATACGGTTGGTAGCAATAATTATGGCGGTGTCTCAACAACGCGTTTTTTGAAGACGTGATCAATCCGGATCGATACCCATGAAGCTGGCTTTCATGGGTACCAGCAAGTCTATGGAGAGTGACAGCGACGAGTAATTTAGAGGCAACTGAGATCAAGCTGATCCCACATTGCGAAGGTAAGCCTCAATTGAAATTTGGTACCATAAAAGAGCTGAAGACTGTTTCACTAGCAACTTATGGAGATCACCCACAAGAATAGGTCCCTGTTATATCTCTTGCTTAATAGTACAGACAAAACTGACGCAGCTTAGAACCTTCATTCGCACATGCGGAAATTACCACTGAACAAGGCAATTTGGCCCACTTTTAAACATTCTTGCTCGAAACCGATCGATTTTCGCGTGCCGTTTCCTTCACTGTAAGTTTGGTGGCAGCTGACGCAAGTGATCTCTCTAACAGTCCCCGCGAATATGAATAGAACTGGAAGGGTCTCATACTGCGACTGTATTTAGCTTCAACCGTACGATCTCACGTTCGATTGCTGCGCCTGAAGGCGGATCCAAGGGGCAGACCCAGGGAGAGGAGTGATCGATGCCCGAAAAGGAAGGTGATAACTGATTCAATTCAATTCCAGAAAGCTATAAGCACGCAGGAGTGCATCTTCAGCTGTTAAACACAAGCCATCTGCATTGTGAAAAGAATAAAATTTAAAATTGAATACACAATGGAACAAGTAGACTAATAAGTGGCAAAGACAACAATATCATTACAATGCGAAGTTAGTTGTGAGCTCCAGAATAACTGAGGTCTGATAACATAAAATCGCGCCAAATATAGAATTACGGATGAGTAGTAAGCCGTTGTGCGAGCACAAATAGACCTATGCTTTTGTTTGGTTGAGGAAGTTGCTACATAGTGTACTATGAAGAGCGTGACTGGCATCGGTGAGTATTTTTGAAGCAAGCCTTTGGCGTAAACTGGTATGAAGTCGGCTTTAGAATGATACTACATAGAGGCAGTTGCACCAATGACCTACTACTAGGATTTTGAAATGCTTCCTTAAGAAACCAGCAAATATCCCAGGAGCGCAATAAGATGCGAGCAGTAGCAGTATTATATAGTTGGGAACAGAGGACGATCGCAAACGAGCAGCGTAAAAGGAAAGCCTTCACACTTTATGAAAATCCCAATAATGTGGAGTGACCAAGAAAGATCATATCTGAGTGTGACACCTAGACACATCACAGACTCGGTGGAGTGCAGCCTTCTGCCATCTTTGTGGAGTTCAGGGCAATCCTTAGGAAGTTGCTGATAACGACGGCCTTTGTTATGGAAAATAGACACTCGTGCTGCAAATCGAGCGACAAATTTTGGCACATCCTTTCAAGTGATAACTGATCGCGATGTGACCAGTTTGTGTCCATGTAGAAACGAGTATTGTCTACGGATTTATAAAGCTCTCACTATTTGATAAGCGCATGATAGCTCACTAATTCAGTAGGCTTGCATATTAATCCTGAAACTGGTAACTGCTGAATAATGGGAGGTCCAGATGGAATCTTTAATAGAAGAAGCTTCAAATAGATATAACAACCTGAACGAAGATTAGACGAAGTAAGACTAATTCACTCGTTGCCTAGATGAAGTTAGTAGCAACGTTGCGATCATCGCAACCGCAATTTCCCGGCCGGTTGGGCTTAGATATGCCAATGAGCCATCTTCATGCTATGGGCCCCTGGTATTAAATTGCGATTCGTCCATTCGAACACATCATGTGACCCAGTGAATGCCCTAATTGACTATTACGATGGAACAACTTCCACGTGCGATTGAGCTATCAGTGTCCGTGATTGGCGTGGTCGGGAACGCAATTTCGTTGATTTTTCTTTCAAAAATGCTTAGCAGTTTGACGCGAAACGCTCGAAAGCTTTTGTACATCCTCATAGTCCAAAATGTCATCGATATTGTTGCATGTCTCTTTTACTTAACCAGCGCATTGGAACTTGAAAAGTATGATGCGTCGGAAGTCGTTTGTCGAATTATAAACACGAGAGCCCTGTTTTGGCTATTCGTCAATTACCGGGGATATGTGAATTCATACGGCGCATTGTGGCAACATGCGCGGATCGTTTATCCGTTTTGGAGCACGGTGTTGAACTCCAAGGCGGGATGTGTATTCATATTCGCACTCGCCTCAGCAATGAACGCATTGCAGACCCTGCCATTCACTGGACTAAAAGGTCGGTTAGCAGAGGAGGATTTGTGCTTAACTACATATACAGAAAGCCGAACAGGAAGGTTTGCTGGATTGTACAGCTTTGCCACCTTGTGCTCCAGCATTTTTCGATTGCCGTTTCCATTCATGGTCACCTTTTTATCCCTAACTCACCTCATGGAAGTGTTGACTGATTGTGAGGGAGAAGTGTATGGACGTATGAAGAAAGAAGTCCGAATTTCGTGCCTGCTAGATGCTACGTTTTACGCTATATGCCTCTTTCCTCACGAAGTGCTGTTGCTAACAAAGATCATCGTGGACGTCGGAGATGTTCAATTGAGCTCGTATCTATATCGCATGAGCACATTGTTTGCACTTTGTTATCCGGCGCTGTGCCCATTTTTAGCGATCGGTTTGAGGACGTCTAGTTACAGACCAATGATAGAGGCCGTCCTTCGTCCAACGGATTACCAGAAATTGGCAAAACTAGCCCAGATGTGGAAAAAATAATGATCAGCCCTAATCGTATTAACTGTAAAATTCTGATCAAAATTATTGGATAAAATGTGCCCAAGCAAATTGAAATATCTGCAATGATGGGAGCGGGAGTAGTCAGAACAAAGTCCCTGCAACCACTGGACAGTATGGTGATCCGGAACCAAACCAGACAGCACAGGCAGGATGAGCAACGGTGCTGGGTAAGGTAGGAGAGGTGGGGAAAAGTTCGCGTTCCATATCTCAACCTAACTGATTCGAGTAATTGAATGAGCACTAATTTGTGTGGGAATGGAGAACACTTTCGTGTTCGTTAGGTACCGATACTAATTGCAGTAAGGTTTCAAAGTATCGCACGCTAAAGAGCAAAAACTGCTCGGAGCAGTTTAGGATGTTTCCGGATGATTTGCGGTTGAGAGAAAAATACATACCCTGAACCAACACTCCGACCTAGCAGCCGATTAGCTGATCAGAGCGGCGTTTGCTACACCCCATGACATACATACTAATGATCGCTTAAAAGAGGAGGGTCGCAAGTTCCAGTTCGTTACTGTGTAGAGGCAATGCACACTGCGAATGGACTTCAAAAGAGCCAAACGGTCGTCCAGTGGCTGGATAGCACCGTAGTCGAAAAAATGGATTCTGACCAGAGAGTGACACTATTGGCAAGTAGTTCACAGGGTGCGTATAGCAGAGATGAAGTACAATTGGAGTTGATTCAAATTCCAATAGATATCGTCACCTACCGAAACATCGTCAATAAATGCAGAAAATGCTGACGAGTAGGATTCAGCCAAAGTCATCAACCTGGAAGAGGAACTTTAGATAATTCCACTGTTCAGCCCTGTAAATAGTCCAGTAATTCAGTGCAGCCCAAA